AACAAAGCTCCATTTTTATTGCAATGATACCTTTTGTTGCCTACTTTGACTACAATGCTGTACATTGCTCTTTTGGATGTAAATTGTTTTTATTTCTCAACTCAATCAACCTTCTTGTTTCTAAAGCAGAGGAAAAAAAAAAAAAAAAAAAAAAGGAAAAAGAAACAACCCACACTGATTCATGCATTAATTCAGGGACCAATCTTGCAATGTTCATATAAGTAATCCTTCCTCAGATGAATAATCCCTCTGACCACAGCAGACTGATTAACAACAATGCAGATTAAAGTTTTCAGGATCAGGTCCATACCCTGATGCTCAGGTTCTCACCTGAAGTTTAGTGGATGATAGTCCCTCTCCTTTGGTTAGATGTCTTAGAGGCCCACATGAAGATCTCGGTTATTTTATTTGATTATTATTTATTTGATCAGAGCTAACAGGCTCTGATGCTGTCAGCGCTCCCTAGAAAGTCTAATGAGTTGAAGTAAACAATCCCTGCTGAGTTACAAGACTTGGCAGGATCAGGCCCCGTTAATCCTATCTGAAAGTTGTGTCTTTAAATTGTGATCAGAATGCATATCTCTGCTAGTAACAGTCTCACGTTGTATTTGGAAAAATCTGAATAACATAACAGAGAATCTAAGAGTATATAGGCCAATATAGATACTTAGATCCAAAGAAAGATAAGTCACTATTTAAAAACAAAATTCACACTTACTGTTTATTTGGAATAAAACTTGCCTGCTGTTTTATTTTATCTATTCAAAACCAAAATTCACACATAATGTTTATTCATTTGGAACAAAACTTGTCTGAAACTTGTTTTGTATCATTCAGCGAATGTTGTTTCTGTGTGCTTTGGGTCCAGGGTTTTGAATTTCAGCAGAAGAATCCCCCTCCAGCAACCTTTTGGCCTCTTCCTGCCTTTCTTCTTTACTTGCTCGTTTCCTGGTAAATGAAGATAGCCAGGACTGATGTCTCAGTATGCCCCTTCCCTGCACCAAAAGGTGTTCATTAAAAACTTACTGCTGGCAAGGGCCTGATCCAGCCCTCCTGGAAATCATTGGAAAGCTGTCTCTTGACGTCATGGGGATGAGAAGCATACTAATGCATGCAAGTACCTTTACTAATGCGGGCAGTCCTGTTAACAACACCGAAGTTGTTCACAGGATTAACAGCAATCAATCAAGCCCTTTGAAAGGCATATTAAAAGCCAAAGCATGGTCTGCAAACCTTTTCTCATGCGAGGTGTGTGTATACCTGTGGCTGGTCCTACTGCATCTCACTGCTCCCAGCCTTGCTCTGTGAGTGCATTTTTCCAGCTGTGCTGATTTGGGGTATTATTTCTTCTGAGGAGGTAAAAATTGCTGGTAACCTATCCCAAAATAAATAGTGTTCGTCTTGCCAAAAAAAAGACACTAACCAGAGTGAGGAGCAGGAGCAAATGGAGCTGTAAGCGGGTTGGGAGGGGGTTGCTTTCTCTCTCACCTAGACACTTAAGGAAAAAAAAAAAAAAAAAAAAAGAGACAGACAGAAATTTAAAGTGCATTATTTTGGTTCTGTGAAGATAAATAATTACTTTCTGAGAGAAACTGCAGCCTGTTTCAAAAGACCTTGTTCATACAGATTTCCTGTGAAGATTCCTGTTTATGGATTGCTGAACTGGACCCACTGTGATTACACTGGGAACATTTCTCACTTGGGAACTGCTCAGCAAAGGCTGGTTTATAGATAACAATTCCACTCCTCCTTTGCCTGTATCTGCTTAAAATCCAGTATGGCCCCTTGTACATGTGCAAAGGTGCTTATGGGGTATAGCTTATTTCCACCCACAGGAGCAGCTGTGTTCATCTTGGAGCCCTTGTAGCAATATTTGTGTGCATATTATTTCATCCTGCCACCCCTCACAGCTGTGCCTGTGCACCAGGGGGCTGTACTTGAACAGCATACATTTCTAAATGACTACACTTACAGCTCCATGAAAACGGGGTGTGGACCTGCTCAAAGTTTTAAAAAATACGTATTGTTATAAAAGTGACACCCTCACTGAGCAGCAAAATTACTCTTTTCACTGCCCTGTTCTTTTAATTGACTTTAATTTGGGATAAGAGTTGATTGCAGTCAGAGTGGCCTACTCATGGACAAGGGGTTAACAGAGCTATGCCTGGGATGGATCAGTGCCGGATGCTGTTTCACTTTTCACTATAGAGGATATTTCCTCTTTAAAAAAGGTTTAATAAGCCTTCTTTCAGGGAGCCGTCCTAGCTCTATCACGGGTGTGGTTTTAAGGCTCAAAAAGAGCGAAAATTAGGACTTGTAATGTTCTGGTGTGAGGAAATTGGTGCTGGAGGATTTTGTTTCATGCGGGTTTTGTTGTTTTCAGTCTTTTGTCACAGTCCAAGGCACAAGGCAGGATTTGAAAGCAGGTGAGTCATGGGAAAGAGAATTTGGGAGTGGGGCTGCCTGAGGTTTTTACCCTTCTCTCAGCTCCTGGGCTGGCAGATCTCCGTGTCTTTAGCCTTTAAACCTTGTAAGTGTGCGCCCGGGAAGGAAAGACAGACAGTTTCCCCCTTAAACCCCAATAAATAGCATGCCTGGTCAGACAGCAGACAACGCGCGGTGCCTGCCACCAGCCCGGCATCAGGCATCTGACAGCAGCTGCCTCCCCGTTAGCGGCGAAAGAT